ATTTAATGCATTCTTAACTTTTTGTTAAAGCCTATTGGTTTAGTTGTTTGTTGATTAATAAGTTGTAATGGTTGTATTATTTACGTCGATTAAAAAGGCTTGGGACGTTAAGTGAGTTAAGCTATCGTGAGTTTTCCCGGGTGTAAATTTCTTCAAGTATTTGTTAAGTCTTTTTCCTCCCTTTATGATTCTGAGCTGCAGAATGTTGTTTTAGTAATTAGTTCATACGTGAAAATCATGTGTGTACTGAAGAAAAGCTGTAGGATTAATCTGAATTTGAAATGATAATGTACATTACTTGCAAAGTGAATGATCATTTGGAGCAGCTTTGGGATGACTTGGGTAGGGTAAAGATTGTCTTTTCATACATTGATTAAAGTTGTCAAACTGCTTCTTTTAGTTTTAGGGCCCGCTGGATCCAGAATAATCGTTGATAAATTAGCTAAAAGATGGTTTTGTGCTTCCCTCTATTCATTAACCGTATTCTGGTTGAGCAAGTCTGTGTAATGAGTCATAACATGTATTATATGGATTCAGATCTTTCCGTCAAGCGAAAGATTGAAAAACACAGGGAGAAAGTACTCCATTCTGATAGTTTACTGCAAAGGAATCCCTTTGTCCAAACGATACCATCTTCAAAACAGAAAAAGTCCAAGAAGAAGAATAAAGAGATCCAAACAGCAAAAGCTGCTGCTCAAGATTGTGAAAAGGTGAGCCTTGTCTGTTGTGGCGATCAAATAAAAGAGTATGGATGATACTTTGTTAGCTTACTGTCATCTACATTTTGCCAGGATAGTGGTGTCTCAGAATCTGGCATGGTGGATATATGGGATGATAAAGGTCCTGCTCCTTATTGACAAACTCTCTTAGTTCCTATGGTCCTTTTCCTTTTGATTGAGAGTAGAATATATTATTTACATAAGTTCATGCAATTTTGCAGGTGAAAGCAATGGCAGAATTAAAAAGGTACAAATCTCTTGCTGGTTGAAATATTCTAAAAAAGTGTTACTAGAAGTAATATTCTTCCTTTTTTATCTCTCAAGGACACGGGCATATATTTGTCTCTGTTGTGCTGTATAAAATTAAGGTTATAAGTCGTTTTCTGTTCTATAGAAATGAGTTTCACTCCATGCGTGCCATTTATAACAGTTCTATTAAAATATCTTATGGTATTGTGGCTTATCATATACCGCCATGACAGAAGCCCAAGCCTTCCATTATACCTGCTGTTGAAGTTGAGGCTCCTGGATGCTCATTCAATCCCTCCTTTGAAAGTCACCAGGTGGTTCTAAATTTCAATCTCTATATGTTGTTTGTATGTTGATCTACTGCTGCAAACCTGCTACTTACAACTGTCTTTTGGATCCAGGATTCATTAGCTTGTGCCGTTGCAGATGAAATGCAGAAAGTCTACCGAAATGAATTGGGGCCTGCACCTGTCCCTCTAACTGTTACTGGAGAAGTTCTTAATGAAGAAGATGTGAGTATAAATTTTGTCAATTGTCAGCTAGTTTGCTTGTGGTTGATTACCCTTTTTTGGTTTGTCTTTTTGTCTAATCTCCCATATTCCTGAGAAGATTATGTCACTTAAATTCCACTGTCCAGATGCTTTTTCTTGAGGCTGACACTGGATCTGATGAAGAGAATCAAAGTGAGAGCGTAATCGAGGATGGAGATATGGATCCTGATAAGAGGTCTGGTTCTTTTCTTCTGTTTTAACTGTAAAGTCCCTATGGTTGCTTTATATTTTCTTTAGCATAAATGTCCAACCCTTTTTTTTGGGGGTCCAAACCGTTTTACCATTGTTAGTTTCTTTTTATTTGTCTATCATCAGAATTTTGGGTGGTCTCAAGTCCTTTGTTGTTAATTTTCTATGGTTTTGTTATCAGTTTCTTCCCGATGCTCGTTATTCTTATCTAGTTTACCATACAGTGCAAGCATAGTAATTAAATGCAGTACTGATTTGGGAAGGTTTGCAGGTTCCTGATGTAGTAATCCTTGTTTTCTTGGCCATGTTGTTGGTGTCTTGTTTTGAATTTGGTTGCATGTGCTTGGTTAAGAAAGGGCTCTAAAGTTTGGTTGGATACTGTTTGGTGTATTTTGGGCCTTGTTTAGAGTCATAAACATTGAAGTGAATCATTAGATGTGATGACCAAGAGACTGGAATGATACCTGAACAACTCAAACATAACATGACAGAGCTTCTACTCCTAAGTCTGTGGATTTGGTAGGATGGCTTATAAATGAATGCGATATTTCTGTTGTCACACCATTCAAGGGTTGCTAAAGTTGAGCATGCAACCAGACATACAGCCTATTGGATGAATTCTTTGAAAGAAAAGTTTCAGATGGTAGTTTCTGAATCATATTTTGAGCATACTTGTTAAACAACAGTCAGTAGTCTGAATGGTCATGTAAACACATTGATGTCATAATGAAGCTTTGGTCATTGTGGTAAAACAGATCTGCATCCCATGCCTCATATCTAGTTGGCTGATCAGAATGGGTCACTATACCATTTTGTACATGTTTTCTACATTACCCTAACAATAATCTTGGTTGAGTAGATATTTAATTAGCTTTTGTGATGGGTTGATACTATTGTTAGAATATGGTGTTGTATTTATTTCAAATCAAACACACACTGAAGTATAAATCTTGTCTGGCATGTGTTTTCTTGTTAAGAAACCTCATCTTGTTGACTCAGCTCAGAAGACTTTAGCTTCACTCAACATCAATCTCATTAAAGATTTGAAAATCTGCAGGGCTCTTAAAGCTAAACGGGTGACAAGAGTTGAGCTAAACAGGAGGGCTAGGCGCAAAGAGCAGCTGAGAGCAGAAGCAGAAGCCAAAAAAGTGGAGAAACTCTCATCTGAAATTGATAGGTAGCTTAACTTGTTAACATCTGAAAATTTTCTTTAAAAAATGATAATTTGTTCCCCCCCCCCTCCCTTCTCTTCTCCAGGGTCTTTTGCTATGACTATTTACCATTCAGGATACTGTTGCGCTAACGAGGCTCATTTATTCTGCAGTTTGCCAGACATTATAGAAGAAATAGAGAAAGAGGATGCAGAAAAACAGAAAAGACATCTCCGTCGTGCAGTTGCTAAACAAGAAAGACTAAAATCTTGTCCACCACGCTTGGGAAAGCATAAGTATGATGATTTTCATATACGCTATATGACCTTGTGAACGTCACTTGTATTTTTTCCTTTAGACATTTTGTGGTTTGAATGCTGAACTGGAAAGTTCAGATAAGTGCACTGGTCCTGGACGCTGCTTAGTGTCCTTGGAAATGCCAATGCATCATTCTGACATGAAATTGATTTGAACTTTTTGCTACTTTAACTTGTAGCTTAGATGAAGACTCACTAGCATTATTCTTTCTCAGATTTGAGCCAGCTCCAGTTCAAGTGCTATTATCTGAAGAAATCACTGGTTCTCTTCGAAAGCTCAAGGTTTTGCATTTGACTTGATTATTCTAGTGAATGGTTTCTTTGGTTAAGTTTTCTGTCAAATAAGTTTTGGATTTTATTCCTTAGGACTTGACCATTCTATGTGGTTTTACTCATCTCTTTGTGGCAAATAGGCCTGTTGCACTCTTGCACGAGATCGGTTTAAGAGCCTTGAGAAAAGAGGACTCATAGTCCCAAGCAAGAAGAGCAGCAGGTAGGCAACTCCAGTCGATTATGTTTTGCATCACTAGTTATGAATTAACTATAAGAAGAAAACATTTGATCCTTTCAAAAATTTTCTCGTGTTTTCCTCATAATTTTCTCAGTCATCAACTCTACTTCTGCATCCAATAAATTGCTTTCCCGAATTCTTGGAAACAAGTTGACTGATATATTTTTTAAAAAAACATCATGCAATCCCAATTGCAATTCTAAAATTACTTTCACATTCCATACTGTTGAAACTAATTTCCTGGTTGGTTATTGGATATTTTCATCTGCAACTGCACTGTTTTAGCTGTCCTGCCATCTGCGTCAGAAAAGAAAAAGAAGGGAAGAAAATGTGTGCCTATAGTTTATATTGTTAATGGTGATAGAACTTTGTACGTCTCGTGCAGGAAATAGGATGGCCTTCTAGGCGGACCTGGAAAGCTTCACTTTGGTGGCTGAATTTGGATTGCCTTTCAGCGAAGCGATAGTTAAGTCAGTACAGAGAAGCGGAAGGGAAGTGCCGTTCCGACATGCCCTCATGTGCTTGCTTATTTCCGAGTGGTTTTCAGTTCTTAGTTTTACGGATATGTGAAATTCTTTTCTATTTAGATGTAACCGAGTCCCGTGTCAGTTCCATTGGATCGTTGTTCATCTTTGATTCAGATGAAATCTAGTAGTACCATCTCCTTCTCATTCAAGGCCTTCCATTAAGCAAATGCAATGTATTAAGTTTCTGAATTCTATACCAAGCTAACAGGTGTCAGTTGTAAGTCTATCAATCGAGCTTTGGAGATGAGAATATTAGCGATTACAATGATGAGTCTATTCATCAATTCCTAAAGAAGCAAGAAACAATTTTGGTGAGAGTTCGCAAATTTGCACCGTTGCTGCATTAATAACTTCTAATATTAGGACTGAAACTGTACGAGGTGTGGATTTAAGGAAGAAGATTATCAGCATTGAGAGTGTGCAGGGGATCTAAGGAAGAAAAGGCATGGATTTATCATTTATCGAAATTTTCAAGCTACGAAATTCCACTTAACTTCGTACCGTAAATACTTCACCTACGGGATTTTCTTTCTTTGCCACTGTACATCTTCTTCTCCAAATGCAAAAACACAATTGTCTCCCCAAGAATGAGGACCGATGTAATTCTTCGTTCAAATTTTTCATGACAATCGAATATTAAGTTAGGTCTTTGTGGGATGAGAATGATAAAATGGAAGGGAGTGTAAATGAGAAATCTTGAGTTGAAAACTTTTTAATTATCTAAAAAAAAAAAATAGAGTTTGGCTTGTGTAAATATTTCCACAGTCCTTGATGGTAACAGAAAATTCTAAGCGGGTAGTAATAAAATCGAATAAATTTTCCTGTTTAGGACTTATATCGTGTCAGGAGTTAGGACTCGATTAAATTTTCGACTACTTATTAGTGCAGAGGGTCAAAGTGAGGCTAGCCTTCCAGCCTGACACCAACACTGGATAGCCGGCTGAGTTCTTTCTCAATCACTAGTTACAAGAAAATCTTTGATTTAGAAAGAAACAAAGTTGTAAATAGTCAATTTGTTGTTTTCCTCCAAGAACCACGAAATTTCAGGAACATTACACAGTAAAACTCGAGAGATTGTTGGGCATCAGGATGCGTATTTTAGCAGCGAGGCTCAGCACTGTAAGCCTCCTTCCCCTTCTCTATAATTTACTACTCAATTACTCTACTTTTTTTTTTTCATAATCGTGTGAGTACATATTTCATGTGATTGAATATTTTTCTTTGATCTTTCGGGTGAATTTTAATGCAGTACCTATGTAGAAGAAACCCGTTAAGTGCTCAATCTCGCAATTTGTCTTCATTTCACGGAAGAGGTAAACTTTCTTTCGTCTTGCTTTCTGGGTATTTTTGGTTTTTTTCATTTCCCGTGGCTGATTGCCTGATGATGCAGTTGTTGTATTGAAAACCCTGACATAAAAAAGCAGCTTTTAATTATTCTCTTACCTTACAATTTGCACATGATTTGATTGAAGATTTTTTTTTAAGTAGCATTTCACGATTATATAAAATGACAGCCTCTAATTCTCGTGTAGAAGTAGAACTCTGCCGTACAAGCCTCTAAAGCATCATGTTTTTGAAGATAGTTCCTTTTCAGATTGCATTGAAAGAAAAATGCAAACAGTGGCTCCTGTCTTTGTTTGCCCGAATATTGCGTTTTAATGTGTCTACTGCCGACATACAATTTTCGAAAGCATGTATTACCAAATCCCCAGTCAACATTAATCATCTTATTTGGCAGCAACAGTCATTTGCTATATCGATTTATGCATACATAAGAAAAGAAGGGGATAAGGTTTGGCTTGTAGAGCTTGGCTGTATCGGCCTCTGATTGCTTTGGCTACCCTTTATTAATCCACCCTGTGGAATCAGATGAAAGATCAATTGAAGAGGAAGCAGAACGGAAAATAGGATGGTTTTTGAAACTTATCTTTGCTGGCACTGCAACCGTTGTGGCTTATCAGTTCCTCCCATACATGGGTATGTGTAGATTGAATGATCCAAGTTCTAAAAGTGAACATCCATGATATCATACTTTAATTGGCTTCCAAGGTTATGACGTTTGAATATTAAATTGTTCTAGGTGATAATCTGATGCTGCAGTCTGTGTCACTTTTACAAGTCAAGGATCCCCTATTTAAGAGAATGGGAGCTTCCAGATTAGCTCATTTTGCAATAGATGGTAACGTTTGGAGCAACTGCAAATTGTTTAGCAATGAGTTGCTGATTTACTGCCATGCTTCTGTTGCCTGTTTAGTGCCTGTTAATGCTCTTGATGGTGGTCAAACTTCTTCATCAACCTATACTCCACTTAGGCATCTTCTATTTGATTCCTTGGATCCTTGTTGTCAAAATTTTAGGTCAAGATTTTCCAGTGACGGACTGCTGCCATATATAAAGGTTTTATGTTGCTTGATAAATTATCTTGACTAGTAGTTATTTACCTCAAATCTCTAAATTCAATGTAACCTCATTTTGTTTGGGTGGCCTATGTTGTAAACAATAGATGTCTTGTTCTTTCCTTCTTGGCCTAAGTTGCACTATCAAAAGAAATTGATCATTTGCAACGGGAATAACAATTAGGGTGGTTAATTAAATGTTTTGATCTTTGGATTTCCAGATGAAAGAAGGATGAAGATAGTTGAGATTGGTGGGGCTCAAGAGCTTCTGAACATGTTGGGAACTGCTAAAGATGACCGTACACGAAAGGAAGCATTGAGGGCACTTGATGCCATATCAAAATCAGGTTAGCCGAGTAAGATACCTGTAATTTGTTATGTTTCCAGTATGGGAAGTGTTTGAGGTTGTGTTTTTGGAAATTCTCGAATGCCTTTTGAGAACTCTGGTTATTGGAAGTGTTTTGGCTTGTGTTTTTGGAAATTCCCGAATGCCTTTTGAAAACTCTGTTCTGGACCTTGAATTCTGAACACTCTGTATTGATTTAAGAAACTAATGGATTCATGAATGTTAGTTGGAGAAACCGTAAGAATGTATTGTAGCTAGAGTATGTCTAATTGGCTTGTTAGTTAAATATAGTAGTGATGAATGGTTTGGTTTAATTTATCTTGTATAAAGCTGTGAGGTCCATTCCTCCAAGTGGTGTATTAAATATTTCATTTTGCAAATTGGCTGAGTTTTTAGACTGCGGGTCATGTATGGAACCTTAGTTACAGTTCCTGATGATTGACATTCAAGAGTACTATTTCTCGGTAAGACCTTATCACGAATAGCTTTTCATGACACATTTTTGTAGGTTGTTAAAGACGTTGGAAAAAGAAATGGGTGTGTAAGATGTAAAAGTTGTAGAGTAAGATTTTATATTGAAAGTAACACCAAGAGCACCCACCTAATTTGGTATCCATAGTCTTAAGAGATGCAGAGGACTCTTGGCTGTAAGTGAAGTTGTTGGAGGATAAGTTCCATCTAAAAAGTTTGAGGAGAGTGTTTGCTGATGACAGTAAATTATGAGGTCCGTGACTGCAGAGCGGAATAAGTTCCTCTTGGCATCCATATGGCCATCTGTACTATAACTACGCATTAGCATAAAGATGAGCCATTCCTGAGTTCCTGCCTGCATTTTCTGTGATTTGTTTCTCAATTTATTGCTTTCAGGTGTTCACATACACATTAGCATGCAATGACAATAATGGTATTTATCTGTTACTATGAGATTAGATATGAGTGACATTGGATATGAGAAGTTCATCTTTATGGTATATCTGGTACAGGCTTAACTGGCAGATTTACTTTTTTGGAAACCTTTCGTGTGTAGTCCTCAATTTTTAACTTCCAACTTCTGAATAAGTTTTTTCATGCGTAACTTTGCATATATCTATTATGGAAAAGCATTTCAGATGTCTTTTAGTTACTAATTTTTATACGTTGTACATAATAAGCTATTTGTACCATGTGGGGTTATTATAACAGCAATTGGACTGCTCTACTGCAGATGAAGCTCGTGGCTCTTTACGAAAAGCTGGAGCCATCTCTGTCATCAGGTCCATCCCTGATTCTGCTGAAGATGCAGAGGTCAAGAAATTCAAGCTGAGCCTGTTGGATAGATTCAAAGATCTGAGTTATGAGGATTGATTTCAAGATTTGAAACAGGACTTCGAATCTCTCTCTCTCTTTTTTTTTTTCATCAGCCCCAAGTTTTCATCAGCTTACTTGTCGGATATCATATTTAATATAGCGGAGGGAAGTGGACTGGATGTTTCTTGTTTAGCTGATGATAGAGTTGCACACTCTCAGCTTCTTATCAAAAATTAATTGTAGAACTGTTCTAATGTCAGAGGATGTGCTGGATTAATACGTCTCAATCTGAAATCAAGATTTTCAAGGTGAAATTTCCTCTTGTTCTCCTCGCACTTGCAGTGTACTGGTTGAATATTTTGCAGGTAATTCTAAATTATCTATTAAGAAAGTGTTCTTGCAATGTCTCTGGGCATTTCTTTTATGCTGCGTTTGAGGGATTTGACAAAGTATTTATAATTTTCTCACATCCTTCTAGGTTGTCTCGATTAGCGCCGCAAACGAATCGAACCGCTCACGAGCAGCTCGAGGCCGAACTGGACTCGAGTTCGGTTGACATCGAGCTCGAGTCGAGTTCGAACTGATCAAGTCGAACTTGAGTTCAAAGATATTTAACTCATTAGTTCGCGAATCAACTCGATAATATATATATATATATTAAGAATTAATCTTTCCTGATATTATTTTTTTAAATTTGAATTTGAACTTTACATTTTGATTTTGTCGAATTCAAACTCGAGTTCGAACTTTATAAAATTAAGTTGAAACTCGACTCGATTAGATCAAGATTCAAGTCAATTCAACTTGTTTGCACTCTAGAAAGTATTTTTGGGTTATGGCTTTAATTTTGCACGCAAGATGGAATTATTGCTAATGACGTGACAAATTGAAGTTTGCCACAGTGCAGTGATGGATCAATTTTTTCTACTGAAACCATTCCGTGTGGAATGGCTGGAGCGTCTTTAATGTTACTGCATAGAAATTATTCACCCGATGCTCCGCAAGAACCAGATCCAGAAGTGTACGATGGTACACACGTTTGACTCTCTCTCTAGTTCACTAAATTGGTTTTGTTGGGCATCCCCGTTTCCCCTTAGTATAGGACCTGGTGTAAAGGTGGGTTCTCACCTCCAGGTCTCAAATGGTCCAGTTGGGCTTCAGCATTCCCGTTTAGCGCAAAAGTATCGTATGTTACTCTATGGGTTTCGTTTCCCAAATTGAACCACGCGATTTATTGCTCTTGTGATTTAACTTATTAAAGGAGCAAGTGAATAGGGATTTGATTTTTTTCACTTTAGAATTTGAATCCTGTGCCTGATAATTGACAATTAAAAGGAGGTAGGGAAGGGTGGAAATATTAAAAAAAAGGGTGAGTAAGGATTTATTTGTCCGCACAAGTCATCAAAAAAAATTTTTTGTTAGAAAAGGGTGTAATCAAATCTATTTATGTTTAATCTTTGTATCTCCTCCATGAAGATCCAACAACATATCACAAGTTCTTTTTTCCTTGATGAGATTAAATACTAAAATTGACCCCACAATGATGGGATGAGTATAAACAAATTACTTTTTTATGAAAAAATAAACAAATTACATGGAATACAAATAATTCAACAATAATCCACACAACTAATAGGAATAACAACCATATATAGTTGGCGAAAATATTAACCTACCTGTCAAGGTCCAGATTGCAAACCCCAACCTTGGTCATTTCAGATATCCTGCCCTTATGCATGTTGGGCCTTTTTGGTTATTTGATTCTCAAATCAACTGGATTGTCTGTAATTTTCAAAATCTCCGGGGTCCATAAAAAAAGAAAAAAAATCTCCGGTGTCCCGAGGTTATGTAGACAATAATACCAGCATAAGAGGATTTTGAAACAGCTAAAGTTACACGCGGCTAAAATCATTACAAAGTGAGAGAAATTGGCATTGGAAGTGAAAGACGGCTGAACGTATGCACCTCGTAAAAAGGACATCATCAATAATTACCGAAAAAGACATGACTTGAACCGAAAAAGAAAATGAGTGTGCAGCTCTTGACCGATCACACGTCAAATAATTAGAACTTGCTAATAGCATAAGTATAATAAACCAGCAAATGGCTTTCTTTTACTTCCTCACATCTTTGGGCCTCTTGAGATGAGTATATCCCCATATGGCTTCTTCTGCTGAACTCTGATGACGTCTTGGGTAGCTAGAACTGCCAGCAGAATTGCCTCGTCTTATTTTCGAGTAGACAAGATGCGTTACAAATTGAATACGTTTCAAAAGGATGACAAGTAACAAGCGTCCAATGAAACATACCACAAGTCCGTAAGAAAAGAGCTGCTGCCCTTTTCTTATCCATTCCTCTAGCCAGCTGGTTCAAAGATTCTGCTTCAGAAGATCCTGGTGTTTCAAAATGAGCCTTCAGCTGCCTGTAGCCGCCATGTTCCAAAAGAGAATGAATTACACAAACTATATACTCATAGTCACGAGTAAAGAGAAGAAGATTATTCAAAAATATGATTGCAAAATCTTGCATTTGAATCGAACGAGTGATCTGATCATTAGTTTGACCAGCAATTGGATGTTTCTGGGTTTGCGTTGGTCCAGTTTCCACCATAAGTTCTGCAAAGATAGACAGCAACATCATATAACACGCATGCAAAAAACAACGGCTAAAACCACCAAAATTAGCCAATTAGGAAGGGACTCTTGATAATTGATCACCATTATCTGGTATAAGACCATTTTCAGATAGTCTAGACAACTTGAAGTTTGGATGCGACGAGTTCTCCTCTGCCACCGGTTCAAGGCCATAAACTCTGTGCCTAGGTGAAGAGTGTGGTCTTTTCATGTTGGACCTGAACATTTGTTTAGCTTTATCAGTCCCTTTTTAGCACAAAATAGTTTGAAGCCGCACGGCATCCCAAACATTTTGTGCTTTTATCTTGCAATTTTAATTACAGTCTGCCTTAATACTACTGACCTTGCCAAGTTGACTTCTGAATCATTTGACAGGAAACCATGACCAGACCCTGAGCTCGGGATCGATCTTACTTCATCACCTGCATATTCCAGTGAAACAACGTCGCGTTTGTCAGGAGTGAAAACAAATCATCCCATAGGCACGAGAAATAAGAACTTGGATGCAAATATACTGGAATCTCCTGGTGTTGCCATCAGGTTGCTCTGACTGAGGCCCCCTATGTAAGCCCCAGAAAATGGCACTTTGGTATTTGCAGTATCAGTTCCTATCTCCTCCATAAGAATTTCAGGTTGCATGCTTATGTCATGATTTGTCCTCTGCTTCTCGATGGAAATTTCCTCAGTTTGAGAGCCAACACCACTATGAAAATCTCCAATGGGCTTCACATTCAAACACTTTGTTAGATGCAATCACATAATTCTTTTCCTAGAAGTTTAATATATAAAAGCAGTGGCTTACATAACCAAGTGGATCTCGTTTATGTATTCGTTCTGGTTGAGATGACGATGATGGATCAGGGGGTTGATGTGTCCAAGTCCCTCCTGTTTGCAAGAGAATGTTAGGTTCAAGCTTTTGGAGGGAGATCTTACATAATCATGTCAAAAAACCCACCGGAAGCTGAATCATGAGCTGGCTGGGTACATTTTTTCCATAGTTCAAGAAGAGGAGCAGGAAAATGCACTTCTCTGTTCCCATAAGTGAATAATCCATCATGTAGAACGGTAAGAGGAAGTTCCGTGATATTTGCTATCTTCCTTTTGGACATGGCACCTGATCGCTGCTAGAAACATAAAATGCTAATTTTATTTCTAGTAAACTTCAAAAATAGAGAAATCAGGAACCCACTAATTTTAAAATTCCAGTTATTTCCTATTGAAAGGAAGCATTGTGTTTCTTTACACTATTCTTTCTTCTTCTTGAGGTAATATCGGAGGTGTTCTGAAGCCAAGATTGATATACGTGACCAGGGATAATGGTTTGCTCACAGTCCATTGCCATGGCAGCAGGCTGCCTTGCTCTCTTTCGAGTTGGACCTTGCCTTAACTGATCCTGCTGATGTATAAATATATTCACGTCTCAGATTGATAAAATTCATGTTCAGCTTCATCATCTATTATATTCATGAAGCAAATTACACCACTCAAAATGTCAAACACCTGAAGAACTTTCTTGTCTTTAGCAACCTGCTGATTTACTTGGGCCTCAGGATTGTGATCCTGTACTTCATCAGCTGCAAGAAGCTAGTGATCAGTATACTGAACATCTTGTCTGTTTCTTTTCACCAATATACAATTTAGCATTGGAATTGTTTTCTATTTTCATTCTTAGAACTTCACTTCCTCTCGGCATATATAGTTCTCTATCCGAAGAAAATGTTAAGGATCAAGACAATTGGGTTCTATAATTCTTTAATGTTTAGAATAGACATTTGGTTAGAAAATGTTCTAATTTCAGGAACAACTATGCTACAAACCAATCTATTGAAATCCTTAGCAAATATTGTTATTTTCTAAAAATACTTTCAGTTTTCCTTTCCTTGCTCTTTTTAATTTCAGAATATCTCTTTGAAATGCGCTACAGCCATACCACTAATTTTTACTCTTGCCCTTGATAGCTATTTCAAGAAATGGAGTTAGGAGACTGCAAGTTCTCCAGTAGCATTGTCAAATGGAATTGAAGATTTTTATGTGCAACCATAGGTAATAGCTGTTTAGGTTACATAATGATTGCAATATAAAAAAGAAGCCTGTTTATGTAGCACATTTTCCTGTTACCTATATCAAAATGATTAACTCTAATATAGGAAAAAAAAAAACCAACAACAACAACATTCTGTCCACTTTCCGTGGTGGTACAAGAACCTCAATTTTATATCCTTAAGGATACGTGCAGTTGCAAATGCATTACAAATTAAGATGGAGAAAGAAAAACACGAAGATGAAATGATGAAGTTATTCTGTATGCAGATGCTAGCATTAGAAAGCAAACAGAAGCATTTGCTGTTGCTTACATGGATAGGGTTTGTCTTGAGGAGGTGGAGAAGGTACAAGAGTACTAGGAATAGTAGCATGTTCTGAAGCTGCAAAGTTCAATTGTGTGTCCTCATCTCCTTCAATATCAAACCTGTACTTCCGTGCAAGGAAATGAAGAAAAGTAATAATTCAGTGGTGAAGTTATCAAGCAGCCATTGATCAGGCTGAAACTGCAAATATAAACTCAACTATGGAAGAGGGCATTTTTAATTGAGAACCAAATGAAACAGCTCAACTTGGAACTAAAGTTTACCTTTCAAAGCGGTTATGCATGATTGTGTCTGCCAGAGATGGATCATGGCTATCAAATAAAGTGATATCAGCTGGATTAGCTGAGAAAGAAAAGGCCAAACCGACCCACCATTAATTGGAAATTGGACGTCAGTTCAGCAGAAAAATGGTTACTATATGCCAACGACAAATTGCAATGGATCAAAGATACCTTGATGGTCATCCTGGGGAAGATCCTCCTCCGGATTTGGATTGATGTAGGAATCATCCATGTTATCCAGCCTCTGCAGACAAAGTTTTAAGAGTTCAGCTCCACATCTGAGCTAGATGAATTACACTAACGCACCACATAATAAAAGTTACTTGCACTTCCTGGTTATGTTTTATCATTAAAGACAACTCACTTCACATATCCAAACAAGATAAGCGATGGTTAATCAGGCTGGACATTAGCCCCTCCAAACAGAAAGCTGAATGATGGGGTGTGGATTTGTTAAAAGGAAGGAGAACAATGAAGCTTTTCTTGGTCCACAAAATTACAATTGCTGGTCTTTAAGGGGTACAAACTAAAAGAGGAAGAACAACAAAAAAATTCAAACACAAAGAGCAAATGGAAGGATATTAATACAATCTTCCAGGACAGTCTAACTAGCAAACTACTAACACTGCCTCAGGAATTCATAAATGACTTCAAACAAGCAGTAAAAAGAAAAAAGAATCATGCAGCTGGATTAATAGTTTCTGAAAAGAAACAAAAACTACAGTTATTATATAATTCCAGTATCTTGACTGCCAAACTTTATAATGGACTAGAGTTGGAAATCATAAAGCTGCTAAACAGGCTAGCATTTTGCTAATGCCTAACGAGGTGTACGTAAATGATAGATACTGTATTTCTCAACTTCACCCATTTCTATTCCAAGGATTGCATAAAATGTTAGTGAAGGCATGTCCATCCAATCTCCACATAATAATTCGTGTTGATAACTTCACTAGAGAATTTTATCAACGTATAGTCTGCTAATATTTTTTTCCCCTAAATTGAAACAATTAACTTAAATTCCAGATAAAGAAGCATACACAAATTCCCAAAAAAACTCAATGAGGTCTGTAAAGCAGATTTGCTTTAATCTGTTCTCTACCATTGAAAAATAGGCAGTTTGTGTAAACCCCATTGTTGTGGGCGCATTAGAATGTTGAAGAGTTTCCATTTCTTCAATATCCTCCTCCCTAATTGCTGGTAGAGTAATGGATTCATATCTGCACATATCAACCAAATCACTAAAGATCAGACCAAGAGAAAGGAGGAGGAGCAGATAAACAAGGTAAGTGTAGCCTGCCAATTTCAGCTATGCATCTGCTAAAGTGTCCCATCCAAACATTCTTTAACAAATTAACATTAAACTCTGCTTTTCTGTTAAGCTTCGTTTGGATTGAGGAGTTCGATGAAAGATTTGAAATCCATCCACATCAATCTAGTTGTCTGAATGGCTTAGAAGGCATTTGAATTTGTAACTCACCAATTATCAAATATTATACACACTACGATAATTGGTCATTTACAAATTCAAGTACCTCCTAAGTAATATAAACAACTACAGGGATTAGAGAGAATTTCAAATCGTTCATCAAATCCCTTGATCCAAATGCAGCCTTGTTGTATTTTGCAAATCAAATTTTGTTTGAGAGCTCTCGTTCATTTAGAATCGCTACGCACTAGAATTAGTTAACCAATCAGAAGTAAAAGGTATCTGTAAAAACAAGACATTAATTCTTATAGACGCTGGAGAAATGAACTCCTCTGAGCAAATGCTTTAATTACTGATGTATGGGAGACAGAAATGGTGCTAACTTGGCTTGAGCTTTGCCCTTAGGCAATACGGTTGGATCTGATACTAATTGAACTTTCCAAGCTTGGTTTAATTCCACCTGAGAAAAATATCCAGATTACCGGAAAAACATCTATTTAGACAAACATAAATAACACAACGGCAGTGAATACGATAGAGCTGTAATATCATAGTTTAAATTCGCAACAAGCAGTGGAGGATTGCTACTTTACCAGGAGACGATTTACATCATCTGCAACTCAAACCAAAAACAACAGAGAAAACATTAATCACTATTCTCGTAAAGAGGAGAAAAGAGAAGAGTTTATGAAAAATATAATCAACTACAGAGATTTTACCGTAGAGGAGTTTCACTTTGCGTTCGTAGACGATGACGACTCCACCTGAGAAAATCGATCAACAAAGAACAAGGCTCTGTTGTTAAGGCTGAAATTTGAAAACAGAGCTCGAGAAAGTGAAGCTAGTCTAATATTCAGGTAAGTTCATCTACCCATGAGAATACTGGAGAGTCTGAGAGCCATTGGAACCGATGGATTCAAAATCTCTTCACTGCATTTAATAACAAAAAATAAAATGCACATAATCAGCTACTAGTAATAAGATTAAAATCAATCGAGTGGAAGAACACTAAGAAGGAAGTGGGAGAAATAAGAGAGTAACCAGATTTTGATGATGTCGAGCTTGTCCAGTCTTTTACGGGTAATCTTCTCTTTAGTCGTAGCCGCCATCCTTCAAATCAAAGCAGAAAAAAGGGAGAAAACGAGATTAATATAATCCATGGACATGAATTCACTGATATAAATGGAAGTGCAAATAAACGCCAAAACAGAGTGTAAACAAGGAACGCAGGACTGCGTAAATTATGTGGAAATTTGCGAATTATGCAAAGCATAATTTCATGATTGAAATTAAGCAGTGGAATGAAGAGAAAGATGAAGTTGAAATACTGTACCATATTTGGCCGAGCGGAGCTTTGCGAGCAAGGAGCTGCCTAGAGTAAAACATTTTTGCTCCACTGCTTAAAACTTTTTAATTTTTTTGTTAAATATAAATTCACAGAACTTGAGAAGAGTTTTAAAACTGAGCTTTCGTATATATAGTTGATGGAAGATTGCTTGGTGAGAAGGTTTCTCTAATCTGCGTGCGTATGCTTTGTGTGTGTGTGTGTGGAGACTGAGAGAGAGAGAGATCATGTCATGTGGAATGCAACGCCATGCAAAAAGAAATCCACTCTCATATCATAAACGGAATTTCGCGCCAACGGCATCAAAATAGAGACTCGCTGCAAACATACAGCATTGCAATTTGCATTGCATCCATGTGATTTGTGGAGATTTTATTAGTATTGAGTATATCGAATCACCTTTACACGTGTTAGTTACACTATAAGATCTTCTTCAATTTCTACACCACAACATTTTTTTTCCGTCCGTCTTGAGAGTTCTGGATTTGCCGAATTTGAGCGCCAACGTACGCCGATGCGAGGAAGGAATGCTCCTCCGAGGGATAGGGTTACTCTTGAAAACAAGCAAGGTTTCATACCACCTGCCTTCCTGCCTCACACGTGTCCCCTCTTTTTAATTGTTTAATGTACAAGCAAGTGTCCACTTCACTCTTATCAGTTATCTCCCCTGTAAATTCAGTCTTCTCTTTCTTTTCTCCATTGGATTTAAATCCAAGACATCACCCTCGGACACCATCAAGGATTCAGATTATGAACAAAGGAATTGTAATTGTACCCCTACTGGTGATACAAACAATTCAAGCATTTGTTCATTAGTTGAGGGAGGACCGGAGGGGCTCAGGATGGAGAAATTAGTTGAGGTATCCGACCAAGAAATTCGCATAGATTTTGCTCTGGGCTGCAAATGCCGAGTCAATCTCACTCTCACCTCACTCATTCCCGCCGCCCCCGTGGCCTTCAAGGTCCAGACCTCCGCTCCCCACAAGTTCCTCGTCAACCCACCCGCTGGACTCCTCCCTCCCTTATCCACCGCTCCCTTACAAATCATCCTCAAGCCCCAATCCCTCCTCCCTCCCACCTTCCCCCGTTGTCCTTCCGACCGTTTCCTCATCAAGACCGCCCTTGCACCCGACCTCACTCCCGATTCAACTCACCCCGACTTCCTTACCTCCTGGTTCAACTCCGTCCCCCACCGCCCCACTCGCGACCTCAAGCTCAAGGTTGCTTTTGTGGGCCCGTTGCTTCTCCACCATGCCTCCGGCATCGGAGATATCGAAGCCGTCAGGAGCATTATCAAGCGCCAAAGGTCTGTGGTTGCTGATCTCTCAACTCGGGATGCTGAGTCCTTGTATCGAGCCGCCACTCAGGCCAGGGAAAACTCGGATGAAATGGTTAGTCTGCTCCTGGAAGCTGGGCTGAAGGTTGGCGCCCGTGCGGGCTTGGATGACGCGAGGTTGGCGTCGAAGGGGTGGACGGAGTTACACGTGGCTGCGGCCTTTGATCGGATGGACCAGGTTGAGAGGATTGTGAGAATGAAGGACCTTGGTTCGCTGGATGGTAGAGATAAGGAGGGAAGGACGCCGCTGCATTTGGCGGCAAGCAGGGGACACTTGGGCTGCGCTAAGCTGTTATTAGGTGCAGGGGCGAGCGTGGACGCGAGATGCAGAGACGGTCGGACGGCTTTGTTTAGGGCCGCGGCGAATGGACATCGTCAGATGGTGGACATGTTAATTGAGATGCAAGCCAACCCAAATATAGCAGAAAAAGATCTGGGCCGTTCAGCTATTGATGTTGCACGAGATAAAGGACACGTAAGCGATGAATTGTCTACAGTCAACCACTTCATTTCGCAAGGGCATAGCCATTGATGCTTTTTTTTTTTTTTTCCTCTTGCTTCCTTTGTTACTAAAATTGTAGCACGATATAAAGTCCGAAGTCCCAACTCATAATATGATGAATTTGCTGAAAATGCAGTTTGAGGTAGCGAGAGTGCTTGAGCGAGGCGAAGCAGTGCTTCATGCTGCGAGACGTGGAGAATTGAAGCTGCTTGAGTCACTGCTAGAGACGGGTGCATCCATGAACTTCTGTGATCAGTATGGTTTGACGGCAATACATATGGCTGCTATCAAAGGGCACAAAGATGCAGTTATGACACTGGTTGAATTTGGGGCTGAGTTGGAATGCCAGGATGCTGAAGGCCACACCCCGTTGCATTTGGCTGTTGAAGGTGGATGCTTCGAGACCGTGGAGGTGCTGATTAATCGAGGAGCCAATGTTAATGCCAAGAGCAAGAAAGGTGCTACTCCTCTTTACATTTCAAGAATGATGGGGTATGAAGATGTATCACGCCTTCTCAGTGACAAAGGGGCTGCTTCTTCGGTTTCCTCAACTTCACCCTCTTCCGTACTGTTTTGACAATGTAGCTGTGCGATGGTACCATTGATTATCTTGATTCTGTGTCGGATGCTCAATCTCTCTAGTTTTATCTCCCACACTTGCTAAAAATCATGAGTAAGCGTATGCAGATTGCAGAGCCTCCTCCCTTTGTAGGATATTAACTTACCTGCCTTGAATCTTACTGCTTACTATCATTTCAAAATGCCTATTCATCGTTTTACGCAATTTTGTGAGATCAACGAGGTAGCATAATACTGATAATAGCCATAAATATGTTCCCCACCCCTCCCACTGCAAGTTAGCTATTAGGATATAAGTATATGGGCAAATTACTTATTACCTCCTGTGATTTTACAGAATGCTAGATGACCCCCTTAAAATTTTAAAATAACCACATAACCCACTTGTGGTTTTATGTAAAGTTAAAAATAGACGGAATGCATAATCGGTTAAGGCATTCGAGGTTTAAAAGCGCATGTGATAAAATTTTGACATTCATGCAACTCGCTTATGATTTATATAAATATCTACTTTACTGTCTCTCTACACTTTATACAAGATGGTTAAACCATCCATTAATTTAGCATTTAAGTAAGAGTATTGTTGATATTTCAATTAACGATGTTACATAGATATTTTTGGTCAAATTTCAACTTTATACATAGGACATGCATACCGATTTTGCAGTTTTGCCTACTAACTCTGGGTATTTTTCTTTTGTTTTCCCCCTCCCCTGCATTCATAAAAATGTTTCAATAAGACGAAAATATTCTTCTATATCTGATGATAATTTTGATTCAATAAAGTTTGAAGATTACAAGTATTACTTGATTCTTGGGCAGACCTTGCCACGAAAACATGTAAGATCTATCTGGAAGCTCTATGCTAAAGCCTCTGGGAGATTTTGTAATTATTTTCAAAGGGGAAGTTCTATTTATTTGATTTGTTAACACATTTTGTTCCAAAAGAAAAGGAGACAAAAAGTGTATATGTTGAGCTCTTTACGAGTTTCTCTCTTCTCATTTGTATCATAATTGAATGAGAAATTTTGTTTCAAACTTTTTCAACAATAAAATTTTTTGGATAATTATTGTTTTGTGTATATTTATGTGCATTTCATTCTTTATTCTTACTCATTGGAGATTTCATGATGAATTTTGAGAAATAAGACCCAATTTGAGATTTTTCAACCTATAGCCTGAATTTCACAAGTGTATGCTTCCTAAAGTCCTTACACTCGATTGGTGATCCGAGTTATACAATAAGAGTGCTCAGGAAAAAAGTAAGAGGTCACTCGAAAGGCCCAATGAGATACCTTTTCTCCTTCATTTAACCGCAAAATAAAATCAGTCACATTGATTGATAAATTGCAAATTGGGGCAATCTTTACTTGAAAAATGTCCATTGTGTCTAATTAGATTCAATCTACATCTCAGTGAAAGCAAAATGGTGCACTATCCTTATCTATTTTGGGAATTTGGGATGATATTTCAAGCGTTTGTTTCTCTATCCATATAGCTTTTATCATTTGCTCTCCCATTTGAGCCTTTAAAAGAATAATTTCGTTTCAAATAAGAGTCTTAAAACTCACTACCCTACATTGGAAAATTTTCACATATCAAAAGGGGAATAGATTCTCAATGAGCGTTTCGTCACCTTAATTGTCATGGAGTGTAAAAATGATGCTTTGGCCGTCGTTTCTACAATCTAAACACAATTTACCCCTTGCATTCTCATTTGAGCTAAATTGATGGTTCTTTTCAAAGCACCTATGATCGCACCCCACATTGGGGAGGGAGATTGGAGATTTTCCAAAAAAAAAAAAAAAAAAAAAATGCTAAAACTCAAAAGGGGGAACCGCAAATTGGGGAAATTTGATTCTACAAAAAAATGCTAAAACTCAAAAGGGGGAACCGCAAATTGGGGAAATTTGATTCTACCTGAGCTTCAATTGTGAGAAAAAGAAGAGTGAAAAGAAAAGAAAGAAAAGTTGTCTGGCGGATCCTCTATGTTTCACAGGTATGGATAACCAAGGGTCTTCCTCAGTCAGTTGATTCAGGTGCATGCAAAAATTTCGCATTCACGAAAGTTTCCTTTCAGAGTTAATGTAAGGAACGGATTAAAGTCAGGCCCTCTTCTTTTCCAATCGAACATTCTATCCCTAATTATCCCTTTTGAGCTTTCAGAATAAATTACTTCGTTTGGCAACCCCTGAGAATCGCAAACCCCACACTGGGGTAACTTTGAGTTGGAAAAGAAAAGAAAAGTCCCAAGAGGTGAAAAGTGTTAAGGCAACAACAAAAGCAAAAGAAAAGAGAACCTCAGTTCAAAATAAACTGGGGCAAATTTTTGAAAAATTTCAAAGGAATGGCAAAAGGCCGAGGGAAAAACAAAATGAAAGAGAAAAAGCCTCAATTGAGCATAAACTGGGGCAAATTCTGATTTAGCCCTAAAATAGGGTTGGCGCAGCAATGCGATCTCAGATTATTCAAACCATATTTAAAATCTGCCTTCAAGCCTTAACTTTTCTAAAAACACCACACCTGACCCCATTACAAAAACCGAAAGTCCTGACTTCTGTTCTTTGCAATGACCCTGTCAAGAAAATTTCTGATGCTGGAAAATTTTAGCTGTATTTCTGAATTGCTTGAGTATGAGGTTGACGCTACTCACCATGTGAAAACCCCATCAGCTCGAGGGAAAAGAAAAAAAGTGAAAGAAAAGCAAGAAAGGAAAATGCAGAAAAATTCGACACTGAGGTCCCTGGGGAATGATGAGAAAATCCAAACAAAGTCTGAAATCTTTTGAGTTCAAAATATGGGCAATTTTGGAAAAAGGCGATCTATGGTGCAATATCCTTGAAAGTCTTAAACTATCGTTTTCAAGCCACATTACAAGCTAATAAAGTCCATCGTTGACTTATTCTTTCATGACAATCCAAAGTGAGGATCATACTCATAAGAAATTCATCAAATCATTTGTGATCATAAGGCTATAACCTGTTTCCACATGTTTAGCTATCACTTCTGTCCATACGTTACAAGCCTAGAAAGCTTGTATGTTGACTAAGTTTTCTTGAAAAATAAGGGTGACAAACTCTTTGCTTTCACTAAGATGTGATGTTGAATGCATTACAATTTTGGGCACAAAAGCCAAACAAATTCTGACCTCCCATTTCCTTAGCCATTTCAAAAAATAATAAAGTCACTTGATTGGTCCTGAAAGATGAGCCAACCAGAA